ACGATATGGGATAAGCAACTTGATCTATAGAGGTAGATCTACAAGATTGCTTAACTCATCCCAATTTACATAGATGAAATCTTGAGAAGATTTCATATGGAGAAACTGTTTTACTCTTAAGCGGTATGTTGGAAAGGTTCCAAACGTGAAGCAAACGTTGATTCAAAAGTAGAAACCTAATACATGGATACTTCAGAAGTAGCAAAGAGTTGCAATATGGATCATGATGTTCATAAATGAACTTGGAGTAGTTCCTGATATTGTTGATCACATACAATAGTATTGTGATAACAATAAAGCCATTGTGAAAGCAAAGGAACTAAGGTCTCATCAATGATCCAAATATGTATTAAGGCGGTATAATCTCATCAGAGAGATAATACATAGAAATGACGCAAAGAGAAGAGCGAATTCCCACATTTAATAATATTGCAGATCCACTGACAAAGAGTTGTCGTAGTATAAACATGATCGTCATGTAGACTTATGATATTTGATACATAAGTGATTGGATCTAGTGCAAGTGGGAGTTTGTAAGTATTATGTCCTAAGTCCAATCAACTTTGGACATAATTACTTTTATATATAATTAATGCAATTAAATGGCAGATCTATTATTTAATTAATAGACAATTAAATAAATAATAGAGTCCGTAAATTCAAATATTTGTAATTTGTTAATCACAAGGAGTTGTGATTGTGAGATACAAATTACATCTGATTGAATCTTAAATCATCCGTGGTCGTAAGTAATAACGAGATACGGATATCGTTATTACAGATAGATCATCACGTGTGACATTTCTTACTTGTGAAGTAAGTAGCTGATCTCACAAGTTAAAGTGTGGTGACACTTAAATGAACACGTGGATATTTTGTTATAGAACAAAACATTGGAGACCCGTTGAGAGATTCCACATGGATAACTATCTGAGTGTTAGTGGTTAATCTCTAACGTTCGGTAGTGGAATTGGTTTTTTGACTTGAGGTCGTCATGGTACCTTATATGAGGACAGTCATACTTTGGCGGTGTTGGATGTTGCTCTGAAAAGGGCCGCTAATACGACATCGTTCGGGTACGTCAAGAATCGTATGAATGTTGTGATTGATCAATAAAGGATTCGTCACTCTTAGATAGTAGAAGATTATGATCTGCGTTTCATTCAATTAAGTCAATGATCAAATCCTTGGCCAAGGTGTACTCATAAGTCGAAAAGGAGTTTTCGAATTATATTGACTTAATAGTGGAGTGAAAGATATGATTGATGATCGAGATTGGCACAATTCCATATCTCGTAATTGATCGGATCATATTGACGAAGGGATTATAGTTTCACGGTAAACGAACGAATTTGGTTTTGTCATACCACGTGACATTTCCCGTCACATGTATTGCCCTGACACATTGCTAGATGTTAATCAGGGACGGCGAATGTGAATTGACGATAAATTAAAAGGGGTGTTTTAATTTATCAATTTTGATTAGATCAAAATAATATTTCACGTCGTTAGGCATCGTGGTCGGGAACCTAATGGGTCGCACACAAAAGAGAATTGGAAGATTGCAAATTGCCAATTGGTTAATTTAACAATCGTTGAATAAATTAATTAATTGGATTTGTTATTTATATTTTCGAATTAATTAATTGGATTAATTAATTCACGGACCGGGTTTAATTAATTGGATTAATTAATTATTGGACCGGATCGGGTCGAGCCTGTTTGGGTTTATATAAATACATAACTAGGGTTTGAGGTCCATAAGTTTTTATTATTCTTGCTGGCACAAGAGAAAACCCTAGAAGCTGCAATCTTATTCTCTGTGTGGATCACCATTGGAGGCTGGACAATTGGACAGCTGTGGTGGCGAATCAAGGTTGATGGAACGAAAAGAAAAGCAAAAAGATTGCAGATCTGGAAAATGTACAATTTTGTCACAATCTCTATCCAAACACAAAGGCGATTCTTTGTGGGAATCGAAAATTATTTTAAATTTCGCTGTGCGTGTATAAGTAGATTCCCAACAGTTCCATGGTGCAGAAATTAAAAAATGTTCTAGGGATCATAATTTTATTGAACCTAAAACTGTACTTTCAAGGGAGATTGATTTAAATGTTTCTTCAGTGCCTGATCTGAACGAAGAGTTTACCCCCCAAGTTGAGTCATATAGAGACAACTGGAACCATACGAAAACTGATGAATGAACAGCTGTTGATTCCAGTGTGGAAGCTTGCACAAAGACGACACATAACACCAATGCGGAGATGCAAGATTCTGATAGCAATCTGACCAATGGATCACCATCTCAAGTCGGGAATTTGGCGGGACTCTTGGGTGAGAACTAGGAATACTGTGTTAAAATCATACATCGGCTATAATGTGGGGACATATTAAGGAGGAATTAAGAAAGAAGGTCTTGACGTGGTTCAGCTTGAGATCAACTAAGCAGGAATGCCGAGTAGTTTACAATTTGATACAGACTCTAATTGATGACCCAAGTAGTTCGGCAGAACAGTTGGTTGATTCTTTTTCAGAAATCATAGCCGTGTCTGGCAAGAGGACGAAAAATGGTTTCTGTGGTGAACTTTGGCATTAGTTTATTCAGATTGTGGAAAGAAATTACTGCCGGAAAACTCCTGACTTATCATCCATTTGTCAATTGACATTGCTTATCGTCACGACGATTCTTTTGAACAGGTATTTTTCTAAGTCTCTTCTGCGATTCATTATTAAACTGGACAACTGCAGATGAAGCACTTTTTCATTTTCAGAAATTTCTCAATTTCCTTTTGTGGTGGCAGAAAAACTGAATTGTAGATTCCATTTGAAGATTGTTGGTAGCATTTCTTTCTATTGATGATAGAAGGGCTAGAGATGCATGACTTTGTTGTTAGGCATTCCTTTCTCCAATTCATGGACATGGCTTAGCTATTCATACATGTTAACTATTACATTATTACCAATTGGGATTTCTTTTCGATGCAAATTCAAAATTTATGCAATTTGTTGCTGAATCTTTGGTCACTATTTGTTGCAGTCATATGATTTACAATGATCTGTTTTACACTTGACTTAGTGATTGCAAAATTTTTCCTGACCTCAACCTTTGATTAATCCTTGTACATTGGACTATATATGGCTGCATAAGATTAGAAAGTAGAGATATTTTAACTGTGTAGGAATTCAATCCCAATCGATCACGGTCCCCAATGAAATTATACGACCTTGATTGAAAAGCTTATAATTTATTAGGGATGGCAATAAGTTGGGTTTAGGGGATCCCATTTGCTGTCTCACCGTCCCCATCCTTGCTTATGTGGGGCGGTAGAAATTCAATCCTCATTTATTGTTCTGTTTATTTTTTATTTATATATTTTGTGTTATATATCATATATGATTATTAAATAATTAAAAAAAAATCAAATCGAGAAATTGACTAAAAAAAAAAAAGATTATATAATAAATACATCACCATCCTTTAAACATGAATGGTATTTTTCCATTGTGCGTACAAAATAAAACTCCTTAACAAAGTCTGACGCTTGAAATAATATGAAACTTGATCACACGTTGGATTCTTTAAGAAATTCTACTTTATAGTATCTATGAAAAGAAGTGGACTTTTGATTAAATAATAGTCTTAATATTATTATATGGGCTATGAAGTGATTTTTTTTTTTATCATTTTTTATTTAATCAATAAAATTTTACTTACATTTTATAAAATTTTAAAAAAAAAGTATTTGGGGGTGAGAATCTCACTCCCTTATTTCTGCCCAGCAAATCTGATTAAGTGGAGGCTTCCCATGGGGATCGAGAATTCTCCATTGCTATCAAAGGCCAAATAGCTCATGGATTGGAGATCGTTTGATAATAGTCTTGATCGATGTCCACTACTATCTATCATTAGTAGATATCAGCCCCCAAGGCACATCTCCAAGTGGTAAAAGGGGAGGGTGGAGAAATCCAGCTTTACTTGAGGCTGCTGCGTCAAGGGTTCGAATCCTGAAATATAGATTTGACTCTTGGGTAAGTGCAACTGTACAAGCAGCCTTCCACCCTGTACACTTGAAAGCATAACCTGCGATTTACTTCCTTCATGATGCTCCAAGACAGGGGCGGTGGGGGACCCTTAAGGTTGGGGTTCAACCTTTTTTTATCATTAGTAGATATCATCTCTATATTGTAGTGGGGTCCCTGATTTATTGTTCAATGCAATAAATGTATTACAATTATTAGACAATGAATCGAGAGATTCACTGTAAACTAGGCTTTTTGTAATGTTTGTTAATTATTGTATATAATTCTAACGTAGAAAATCTATTTGGATGATTTTGCTAACTACTTGAACCTAGAGTACAATTTGGAGATTAACACGTCACCATCATTCGAAAAATGGAGGGATGTGGTTGCAGTTGAAGGCACCACGACAAGCAAAATGAAATTTTGTGGTGTAGACATTACATTTTGTGATGAGTTGATTATGACAGAAAAATTAGGTTGACCTTAGCATATATACCAAGGACGGGGTAACAAGCTTTTTTATTTTAAAGAGTCAAATTTTTAAATTAGGTTTCAAAAAAAATTTTAATTTAACTTTCCAAAATAGAAAGGAGGTTTGACTTTTTTGAGTTAACAATGATCACATTTAACAAATTATAAGTTTCAATCATGAACTACTTAAATTATTCAAATTAAATTTGAATATGTGAGCAACTCACATCTATAAATATTTGTATATTAGTCGAAAAGTGAAGAAAAAAAAGATTTTTGGAAAATATAAAATAAAGAGCTAAAAATAAAAAGTTTAATGGAGTATGGTCAAAAAGTTTACTCTTTAAATTAAAACATGCCCTTTATTATGTACAAAATGCTTTTAAAAATAAAAGCATTTTGTAGTTGAATTTTGAGTTAACGCTTTAAACGATTTTGAGATTTTTCAAGTTTTACTACATGAACAAATACAATGATATGTGAATTACAAATTTGCAATACATATATAGGAGAATTGAACTATTCTATCTAATATAAACTTTCGAAATAAAACCCCAATTCCCTACTAGTTGTACCTAGTTCTTAGAATGGGGTACTATAAAATTAAGATTGAGGACTAATATTCGGTTTGTTTTCTTTTTGAAAAAATGGGTTATCTTGTAATAACCATATATAACATTAAAATTTAAACATTACCATTTAATATTCAAATACACTCAAAATTATTGTTGAATTTCCTCATAATGCGTATTCAACATATAATTTCTTTAACTCAATTGCTCCACTTCTTGACATGCTCGCTTGCTTTCGCTCCCTGCAATTCGAAAAATCAATTGGTAACAATGAACGACTAGATTGAATAATACATAAATATCAACTTTTTTTAACATTTATGTAATAAATTTTTTATTCCTCAAAGAAAAAGAAAATTCTTGCCTCTTTTTCCCAATCACATCTGATGGTAATGATGGCTAAAATCAACGTTTGAAGTGCAGTTCCTCCAAATATCATGCCAGCCCATACACCCTAATATAAGTTAGAAATTAATACGTGTTAGATAATATCTCAAATTAACTGAAAGAAAGCCACAATTAGCTCTAGCAAAGTATATATATTTGAATATTATAGTAGTGTTTTTATTAATTCAAGGTCATATATTGGATGAACTATATATAACTCATTTATAATAAATTATGTATGGTAACTTATCTTAAGGGAACATCAAATTTTGGATAACAGATTTCAACCCAATATATTTATTGTAGAGCATTAACGGTATGCAATGTTTTTTTTACTGGTATATGTATTCGGGAGAGAATAAATAAAAAGATATCTGCTTTCTTATTTAGGAAAAAATAAAAAGAATGGTTTGAGATTAAAAGAGTATATACCCCAATTCCTTGGTGAAAAACCCATTCCATGAGAAATCCTAATGGAACCCCAATTATGTAATAGCATGCTATATTAATGTATGCCACCCATGCTTGCCATCCTGATCCAACAGCCACACCTGCATTAAAAAGATACTCATAAGTAAATAAGCAAGTTTCACAAAAATAATAATAAAAATAAATAAATAATCAGTTACAGTTGAAAATAAGTGGGATTAAAAACTATATATATGCTGATCACTTAACTTCCAAATTATTTCCCTTTAGTCGCCAAACTTTTTGTTAGCATAGATGGTCACTGAAATTAAAAAGTTGGTTCACAACTAACTATACACGTACCTATTATTAAATCTAGCAATTTTGTCGAGTTATTTAACTATGTTACTCATTTGACAAAACACCTTGGTGAGATAACATCAATGAGCTAAAACAACTGACTTTCAAGTGTAAATTTGGTATCATGAGCTAATAAATAGAAGTTCGGAAATAAGTAATTTTTTTTTTTTTTAAACTTAAAAATTCGAAAAAAAGTAGCATCTCACCAGAAAGAATTGGCTGAACACTGTTGAAAAGAATACTGAAAGCTAAGAGGACAGTGAGGTCGTTCACTGCATCAAGAACAGGCTTGCTGGATGAGAAAATCCTCCCAATTGGATTATGGAAAATCATAATTATCAGACAGATGAAGATCCCAATTACTAAAGATGTAGTAACAGAGACAATAGCTGCAAATCTGGCTCCTTTTGCATTTCCTGCTCCAAGTTCATTAGCCACCCTTATCCTGAATCAACCATGTTACCAAATTGTTACATGCATGTAAAAGCACCACATTCTTTTGTCATCTTGCATAGATTATGGGAGTAAAGCAACTCATGACAGGCGATTTGTTACGACCCAAATTTTTCTAGTCAAAAATAAAATGTTGAATTGTCAAAGTCAAAATCAAAAGGGACTAAAATGAAATAAATTATTTTAATTGGGACTCAATTTATTATGAAAAATATTTTGAAGGTTTAAGTTGGACAAAATAAAATTTTAGATATCTACTTATATATTGCTGGAAGTTTAGAATTAAATGTTTTATTGTAGAAATGTTGGAGGACCTCCTTTGCAATTTTGAGTTAGTGGCTACTTATTTTATTACAATAAACCCATTTCAATTATAATTCAACACACACACACACATAGTAGGCAAAAACGGGAGATGGCAGGGAAAGTAACCGAGAAAAAAGAAGAAGAAAAGAAGGAAAGGAAGGAAGAAAGAAGGGAGAAGAAGAACGGAAAGAGGTAATTCAAGGTTTATCTTCATTTTTCCTTCTCTTTATTTTCCCCAAGAGGTAGATAAATTTTATGTTAAGTTGTTAGGGTTTAATTTGTGGCTAAAATTTCATATTTATGCAAGATGAGTACAAATTGGAGTTCAAGTCTGTTGATTATTTAATTTCCAATTTCATGAAGGTAATAATACCAATTTTTGGCAAACCCTAGATTTTTATTTGGGATTCCTATTTATGAAATGTTAGTGGGAATGATCATATTGATGGAAAACTCATGAAACCGTGAATTTGAGAAACAAGATGAAAATTAAAATAGATGGAAGTATTGTTACTAGTTTTCATTGGATTGGAAGGTATAATTATTTTTTTTTATGAGTGGGATGAAGGTAAATTTGGATGTAGTATATATTTGTGAAGGTGTTAGAAAGTAGAATTAGCTCTTATCGATTAGAGGAAAATTTTGGAAAATTATTCAAAGTGTCGAGAAGTCAAGTTTTAGTATTCGACTATTAATATTAAGAAATACTTAGTACGAGATTTGTTAAATTAGTTATTTTACATCGTATTTCAAGTGGTGACGTGAAAGCTGGGCAAGACTGGTAAATTTAACCAGATTGCAATCCATAGATCTGTGAGTGGAGAATTTATGTTTACAAAAAGAATATTTTCGTTTTATTTTATGGAAGCATGTTAATTACATGAAATGCTTTATTTTCGAGAATTAGTAAATAAGCATGATTGTTTTGAAATTATCATAAAATAATTGATGTGATTATCTTACTTTTGTGCACTGAGGGGCTACGGTCGTGTACTAGAATCATGTATTTAACTCTTATCCACTGAGGGGCTACGGCCGTAGGTAAAGGTATCCAATATACACTGAGGGGTTATGGCCGTGTGTAAGGATAACTCTTATCCACTGAGGGGCTACGGTCGTGGGTAAAGGTATCCATTATACACTGAGGGGCTACAGCCGTGTATAAGGATGATTTTGTTGTTTCCATCGTGTACACTGAGGGGCTACGGCCGTGTACAGAGTGTTGATCAGATGGTTTATATGCATATGACTTTATAGCTTTCAGATCATCAGTAGATGTTTACGTGAGGTATATTTTGATGTGAATTTTATGTATATAGTGGATTATTAGCCTTCAGCTTACATTTCCCCGTTTACAGCTCAGCTTATGGAATTCAGATTATAGAATTCAAATTGTTCAGTTTTCAGAGTAAAGCTTCTAATTTATAGTATTGAGCAACAACAATATTTCACAGATTTTCATAGATGTCAGATTATTTCGTTATATTTTACAGTTATTGAACTAGAAAGAAAAATAAAGAATTTTATGATCCAATTATGTCAGTTTTAAAAGTGTTACTAAATTTTCGAATTTCTCAAAGGTTTAATAAAGCAAGAATTATGCATATATGAAAAAGTATACTTATTTTCAAGTTATCCACTCACTGAATTATAAACTCATAATTTGTTACCCTTTTCTTAGCAGATAGCAGCCTTGGAGCCTGTTGATCCACCGAGTGTGCCACACACACACTGTCCTTAGATGTATGACTTATTTCTTCAATTTATATAGTTCAATTTTTTTTAGATACATGTATGTTTTGACAGAAACGTTAATTGGTAATTTATAGATCCATATCATGGGCTCACTGCATATTTAGTATTCTCATTGCTTTTGGGGTCTTTTGTTTATAAACCATGATAAATGTCTTGAATAGTTTGTATTTTGAAGGATTAGCGTGTATTTTGAAGGATTAGCGTGTTATATTTTAAATTATACGTACTGTTTTGATAAAGTTGATGTTTGTTCAGGTGATTTAGTCCATATTTTAAAGGAAATTCTATCAAAATTTTTATATAAATATGGCATAGTCAAAGTAGGTCAAGTTGCCTTGATGGTGGGTCTATCACTTAGCTGGTATCTACTATTGGCACAGGACACGTGTTGGGTCTATTAGGGTGATTCGTAACGAGTCGTGTCACAATTTGTGTTTAAGTCGTGTGCTGAGTCTAGCACGACCGATGTTTCTAGAGCAGGGTATGGCACAATCATGTCGAGTAGTGAGGCGAGGACTAATTTAACCGCTTTTTACTAAAAAAAAAAAAAAAAAAAAAAAAAAAAAAAAAAACTTGGCTGTTTGAACCAACAACCAAAATATTTTGAACCAAAATGCAAAAACCTGAGGTGCATAAATTTTGGACCACAAGTATATAGACCTAATATTCATGTCCACGATCAATCATATTTACACATAAATAATGTACCTTGCGCCCCTCGTTGATTCAAAATGTCACTATTTATATAAAGAAGACAAAAACACATAAATGGTTTGACAATATCACTTACCCGGCTCCAGCAAAGAAAGCCAATGGAATCATCATCTCCCATCCATTTATAGTCATGCTGCAAAGTCAGTAAAAAGGGAATAAGTCAAAGAAAGTAAGTTCAATAATGAATAAGTCGAAGAAAGTAAGTTCAATAAGTACTTATTGTACTGTATACGGTCTAATTCTGTTCAGCACTGCATAGACGAGAAAGAATTTAAATTTTGCATCCTCATTTCTTACCAGACTGATAAGGCATCAACTGCAATTTCTGCGTTCTTCATATTTCCAGTCATCAGTATAAGTATTTTATAATACCAGTTCTCCAAACTGTATAAAACATGGTTATGTTTATTATAAATGAATAAATCAGACCTAAAAAAAAAAATGGGGGTAAAGTTCGATGTTAGTCGTAAGATATTCCATTAGATTGCCGTGTAGCACATAAGATATACCATTAGAATCACTAACGAATCCTAGTCGAGTGACCAAACTGAAACAAGAAATAGATAGCATGCGTTTTTAACTGGAGATGTATGATTTCAAAAAGGAATAATACTATATAGCACAACTGATGTTACAACACCAGTCTAGGTGACATTAAGTTAAAGACTCAATGAAATGTAGAATTAAATAATCTATTTAATGTCATATTAGTATCATCTAAACTGCCGATTTAACACTAGTTGTGATAAATATTAAATAGTATTATTCTTCAGAAAAGTGAAAAGAAAATTAATTGTAGAGGTACCAAAGCATAATCCCGGAAGAAATAGATAGCTTCAAGAATTCCCATAGCCCGGAAAAGGCTTCAATGGAGAAACCAGTCCATGTAAGGGGACAACCACCGCAAACGACGTAAAGAAACATTCCGATCACCGAAACCCACCACGAAACGTTCAGAGTCGCGACCGTTCCCACCATTCCAAGGCGGAGTCCGTACACAAATAAATAGCTAACCCCAACATGCGCGATTAGCCCGATAAACGATGCCCATGCAATTACAGAATTCTTCAACTGGCATTGCAAGAACCTCTGCAGTGGTAACTGAATGGCAAAGCAGAAATGGAGAGGGATCATCCATAAGGCCACGTAACCCGAGAGCTCGGCCACCTCCTGTGGCTGCCCGAGCAGCTTCAAGATTGGAGTAATGAATATGTAAAGGGGCAAAAGCAATATGCAACACAAGAAGAGCACAATCCAAGAACGTTGCATGTACACTCCTAACATATGGTACATTTTTGCACCAAACGCCTGTCCACACAACGTTTCCAATGCACTCGCCATGCCCAACTAATCAAATTCCAAAAGAAAAAACACAAGAATATCAGATCGAAGAAAGGTCCTGAATTCAAGTCTACCGTGTCACACTTTGGGCAAAAAATAGAAAAGACAGGTGGTTAAGCATAGTATAGAGGTTTTTTAGTTCAAAGACTTATTTTCCAAAATTGTGCATATGAGGGCGTTTTGATTAAAATATAAATTATGTCAGTAGTTGATGGGATGCGCTGAAAAATATTGTACCAGAAAGCCATAAGTTAAACCAGTGAGGATATTGTTAACAATGGAGATGGCAGCAAATTCAGCATCGCCGAGGTGCCCAGCAAAAGCTTGTGTTATGACATTAGTAGAGTAAAGCGAAATACGGCTGAAAATTGCGGGGCCAACGACAATCCATAGCTTCTTCGATTCAACCCAAAATCTTTGCTTCAGATCTTCATTTTCTTCAACAAATTCACATTTGGATGATGAATTGTAATGGGTCAATAGTGGTGCTTCCATTTCTCCCATTTATCCTCTACCCTTCGGAAGAAATATTCTCTTTTATACAACATAAACTACCTAAAAATATGAGCCACAATTAATGGACAATTATTTGATATTTTTCAATATGTTGTACAGCACAAAAGCTAGAATCTTTGATTGTACGAAATGGAAGATTTTTAATAAACAGTTGTTTTCGTGATGGTTATGGGAAAAAAAAAAATAAGTTGATATTGTTGGGTTTTTGATATCCAATAAATTAAGGTGATGATTTAAAATAGGGCAAATTCGGCCCGGCCTGGATAATATAAAATTGTTTAATGCCCTCAACGCTTTTAACTTCTTCTACATACGTATTAATTACGGTAAAATAAAGAAAGATATTCAAAACCTTCTTTCTTTCAAGCTTTGCTCTCACTATTCCAATTCCTCATTTCTCACAGCCTTCCCCTTCCTCGAACTCCCCTTTGCAGCTCACGGCCAATCTTGTTGCCATATTGTTGCCCCTCTTCGTTCTCTCCTACTTGGATCCGTCGGAGATTGCCAAGCTCGCACGGATCATCCAGGCTTTGTGAGCAACCGCCTCCATGAATTTCAATCCTTCTAACCATAGGTCCAATAGTTGCTTCTGTCTTTGTTTTCTGCATCTTTTACTTATTTATGGTGATATAGTTTGGAAATGTTAATCTAATTGTTTAGCATACACAAGTTGTGGCTATATACTATTTGAATTCTGTTCACTGCATAAATCTCTTTACTTTCGTTGGTTTTTTGTCTGAATCCACTCCCCACATATCATTCTTCCTCGTTCCCATGATAATTTTTGACAACTTATTGCTAATTGGTTCTTGCTGATATGACTATTCTTTAAAACCTTTCAAAGAATGTTATAATGCAATAACTCTAGTAGGCTTCATCTCTTTCTTCAATTAATCTTTTATTTTTCTCACAACTTAAGTATAGCTATCTATTCATTATTTAGGTCTTTGCTAGATGGCATAGAGTGCTTGAGCTATTGTTTTGTGCCAAGCAATATGGCACAGGAGTAGAAGTTTGGGCAGATCGAAGGTGGAGGTGGAAACATCTGGCAACGACAACTGCAACTATTGGTGTAGTCGTTGACTTCTTCCAGCCAAAAAGATTGAAAAAAACTCAGCTTATTCTCCTATTCGGATCTTCATTAAGTGGAGGTCAATGGGTTAGCTAAGTTGCTAAATGATGGTGGAAATGAATTGAATTAAAGATACTTGACGTTTTGAATGGTATTTTGTCGGTAAACTGACTTGAAACGCTTGGCAATAAATGGAGTAAGTGAAGAGATAATGGTTATCTCACCTTTTTTTTTTTTTCCAAAATTTCTATCACTTTGTTGAACTAATTCGATTTCAATGTTTTAATTGGTATTCACTTTTTTGAACTTTGTCACTTTTTCTAGTGATTGTCACTTTTTAGAATATCTCTCACTTTTTTTTTTACTACTTTCTATCACTTTCTTGAATTTCTATAACCTTTTTAAGCGACAAATATCAATTTTGAATAAAAGTAATGTTGTTTGTCACACCTAACTTTATAAGGTGACAGTGTTCGTCACTTTTATTTTTTGACCTTTTTTGAATTTTTTTCTTAATTTTTGTTACTTTTTAAATGTTTGTCACATCTTTGAATTTTCTGTCACTTTTTTGTGTTGTGTCACTTTTTAGAGTACGGCACTTTTTTTTATTTTTTTTCACTTTTGTCTATTTTCTCACTTTTTTAGAAATTGGGTTGCTTTTTGAGTGTGTGCACTTTCTTTAAATTTTCGTTACTTTTTCAAATGTTTTATCACTTTTTTGAATTTGTATACTTGTTGATGTATATCTGCCACTTTCTTTGAATTTCTTACTTTTTTTAAAAAAAAAATTTCTATCACATTTTTTAATTTTTGTCACTTTTTGAATGTTTTTCACTTTTTTAATTTCTATCACTTGTTTTGATTTTCTATCACTTTGTTAATTTTATGACAATTTTTATTACTATTGCTTTTTTAGTATTTGTCACTTTTTTAATTATAAGCATACATCAATTATTTTAGGATAACTATTAGTTTTAAGAGATTGAGAATAGTATTGCTCTCGTTTTATCGATAATTTTAAAATGTTAACAAAAATTTAAAATACGACTGTGGTTATTATTTTGTTTTAGAAATTTTTTCATGATTTCTGAATTCTATTTGATTCAAATTAATTATTGAATTTTTATTTTATTTTTAATTCATTATTTCGTCTATATTAGACTATTAGTTTATTTAACAAATATAAAAAGTATTAATGTTAGTGGCTAACAAGAGAGAGGATGGAGTTGCGTTAGTGGCTGACAGGAAAGAAATTCATGTTTCATGATGGTGAAGTGGAGGGTGGAGTTACATTGGTAAAGAAAAATAAAAACTGCCATCTGTGGTAAAAAAACTTTTACCATGAATTTACCGTATTTTTCACTTCAAAAAAACTTTTAACATGAATTTTCTAAGGGAAAAATTCATATTTCAAGTATATTCTTTACACTATTTCAAAAATCAGGTAAATAATTTGAAAATTTAAAATTCAGGTATATATTTAATTAATTAAAAATATTTATTAAATAATGATCACAGATTCATAACTATATGTCATAAATTCATTTATTGGTCACATATCATCAAATTAATTATTTACAGATTGTTTCGAGGTCACAAATTAAAAATCTTGTAGGTCACGGATTATTTCAAGATCACAGATCAAAAATTTACAGGTCACAAATTATTTCAAAATCAAATTAATTGGTCACAGATTGTTAGATTCTTAGGTCACATTTAAACAATTGGTCACAGATAATTAAATGGTTGGTCACATGCATCAAAAAGTGCTCACATATCACTACTAACATGAAACGACAAATAATCAACTCTCCAACCACCAACCGCCACCTCCACCGTCGCCAGAAACCACCACTACCGCCCCCACCAACCCCACCAACAATACACAACCCACAATCTCACCACCATCTCCACCACCACCCAATTCACCACACCGCTAACACCACTACACCCACAGTACCATCACCAACCAAATTCAAACCTATGAACCCAAATTACCACGGTACCACCAGTCCACCACCAACCAGATTTGAAGCCACCAACCCACAACACCTCATATGCACTATTACAGAGGTCAACACACCATTGCTCACCGGCGTGCCATCACCTCGCCACCGCCACTACTAAAATCGCAAGGCATGATCGAATGATTACCGCATAGTCGAGCCTCTCCCACATCAATCCATTCGCCAGCCCACACACCGATGCACGTGCTCCAAGCGAAGTTGCGTTAAATGCCCGCCGCCACAGCACCCACACCCATCACCATCGCAACCAACCACACCACTATCTCACAGCATCAATCTAAGCGCTAGCACATCAAACAGCAGCATCGCCAGTGCTACTTATGTGGTGGAAACAAGTTGGTGTCTGATGGTCGGTGTTACGACGACGTAGGCGGCGTGTGACAGGGAGGAAGAGATGAGAAGGAGAGTGAGAGTCGGAGTGGGAGTGGGAGTGGAATGAATGAATTAAAAATAGGGATTGTAATTGAATTAGGGTTTGGAGTTATTATATTCATACCTAATTTTTGAACAATGATACTTTCATCCTGATTTTTGAATTCCAATCTTCAAACACCTGGAAATATGTAATTTCCACTTTTTCTAAATACCCTCAATTTTATGGGTACTTATGTAATTACCCCCTTGGTTAATGTATGGATTTGGTTATTGTTAATGGCCTATTATGAGTAAGTATTGGCCCAAAACTAAACCTAATGCCTATATACACATAGCTATGTGCTTTTTCTCAGTGTGGGTGTGTATTGTTGTAAGAGAGAGAGGAAATCGAGGGAGGAAGGGGGCCCGGTTTTTGGGGTGAATGCACGAGAGATTCAACAATTGTTTTCTTCTTCTCCTTCCTCCATTTGTAGCTTGCAAATACCACCACCAAGTCTCCCCTTTTTGGGGGTAAAACTGATGCAACCAAAGATGTTAAGGGTTGTTGGGTCAAGCCGATTGATTGGTGTTCGTTTGTTGTTTTCTGAACTCGGAATCAAGATTTCTCAATGGATTTTCGCAAAAGGTATATTTTACTAATGCGTTCCAAAGTCTTATGTGACTAGGCCAAATTTATTAATGTGTTCTTTTGGAGAGATCCAAGAACTTACAATTTAAAAAAATAAAATTGCAATGATTGTCTTTGTAAAAATGATTTTTGATAAAAGAGTGGTAACTCTTCTTATACTCGTACCATTTTGTTTTATATTTTTTCATCTAATCATTTTCATATGTTCGTTCACAATTTTTATAAAAAGCTGTGATGCTTGGACAAATGACCACATCCCAATTCTATATTTTTTGCATTTTGTAAAACATTTTATACAAATGATAATTCCGTCCCTATTTCTCGTACTTTTGTAAATATAATTTTCCTTCTATTGTACAAAAGCTCCGTCGTTTATATATTACATTCATCACTCATTAATACAAAAGTCCTATTTCATGGTTCAAATGTGATTGATGTGTTACTTTTGGATAAACGAAGATACGTTCTATCCCATTAAACAATTACTCTATATCTTGAATATCTTAATTACACAGTAAATTTGTTTGGTTTGGGTATTAGAAGTTCGTATCAATTTTATTTTACCACAAATAATTATTATAATTGACACTTATAAAAGTGTCTAGTTCTTGTATTCAATTTTGTAGAGAAAATGATCCCACATCCTAACGATATCATATATATTAAATACAAGTAATAAAACGATGAATAAATTGTTGCACACTAGAGACTAGTTATCTACTTATTAAATTTATTTAAAGCTAACCCTAACTAAAAACGCACACAATTAATGATTTTGAATTCTTTTAACTATAACCTAAGATAAACAATAAAAAAATTCAAAATTTGGAATTTGATAAAACCATGGAAGATATTAGAATACTGATTAATCTACAATTGTTAACCTATTTTAACCCTCTATTATTCTTTTATAGTCAATTTTTATTTTATATTGACAATCGATATTCATTATATGAAAATTTTCTTCAAAAAAATAAATCGTTTTTATTTATGACCCAATCATATCTCTATGACAAATGACAAAATTAAAATATTTCAAAAGATTTACTAAGAATAAAAGTATATTTTTGTCTCCTAGTCGTTTGTTATTTGACATGGATACATAAAAATACAACTCAGTATAATCACGGATCTCAAAAATAATCTTAAAGTGCTAATAATGGGATGGAACTCAAAACAATAAGTATTAAAACTAAAGACAATCAATCAATTAATCGAATAGTTAACGAGATTTCATTGTAACCCTAGTCACAAAAACATGGTTGAATTGAAAAATCACATATTCACTCAGATTTCAAAATAATGGAAGAAAAAGATAAATAAATCTTGAATACTTGAATCTCTTCAATGGATGTGGAATGATATTCCTTCTTATTTTTGCTTGGACTCATTATAAAATACCGGATGACTTATTCTTCAACACGAAACTCTTGTATTTTTCCTCCGAAAATTTTCTATCATGAGTTGATGCGAGCAAGATCGGCTTAAACTAATTTTTCCGATCGTAGTCACAGGTCCTGATTTGACGGCTGACTATGAATTCAAACATTGGATCCAAAATTTTGAGTTGCGATTCTTTAATAATGTTGATCTTCAAATTCAATCATATTTATAATGGTATGTAGTTGTCATACAAAATCTTCTATCAAACTTTTTACTCTAATTTCCTCACATGCTCCGCATATAGGTTCTTTTTTTTTTTTTTGATACCCAAGTGTCCCAGTTTCGCCAGACTAAATTCTAGACCTCAAGCCTCCGGCCCCTCATTAGCTTGAGAAAGTTAATCGCGGGTTGTGCCCTTATTCGCTCCCAGGTTCGTGCATGGCTTTTACTCCTTCCTCAAAGAGGGCCCTCTCCACTGCTTTTCAGCACCTTGCCTTCGAGATAAATCCCCCTTTCAAGATGCTGCCTTCCAGGAATCGAACCCTCCACGCTTGATTTGTAAGCCTACCAACGCAATTGTTCCACCAACTCTCAAACTTTCCTTCTTTTATACCAATCATCTATAAAATCAAATATATGAAAAGTTAGTTAAAATTTGCTCAATTAATCAAAACTAAACATCATTTGAGGAACTAATTAAGCTTGTAAAACAAATTTATTTATACTTGTGAAGTTTACAATATTTATTTGCTCCTTTTCAATTGGTTCATTCCCATGTTTGGGGATAGTCACACGACCCCACAATTATTAATATCCGACAAAGGATTAAGAAGTTGTACTCTCTCTCTCTCTCTCTCTAGGAATTTATGGAGATTATCATTTATAAAGCCTCTCTCTCTCTCTCTCTCTCTCTCTCTCTCTTTAGGAATTTATGGAGATTATCATTTATAAAGCCATGTACATATACATGGTTTTATACAATATAGGAGGAAATGACATATTGTTTGCAGACTTAAATTGTTTATTTTTACTGCTAAATTATAGAAGACGTAATTTGGTGTATATTCATATATATTGGCTAACAAAGTAGATTTATTTGTTTAAGATTTTAAGGGGCCGTTTGGCTTGATAAATTTTGTTGATGACAAAATGAAGTGGAAATTCTCGATCAACGTAAAGAAATTTTAACAGAGTAATGGTATAGATTGCTGGAATTTCAATAAATAAAAGCTTGTATTGTTGTTGAAAATCTGTTTAGTACCGTATTACATAGAACTCATTCAGCTCGCCCATTCTTATTTGGCTTTTGCATCCTTATACAGGCCTTAGACAGGAGCTTGCCATCCTCAGTCTTGTTAAGCTACAATGTTCATCCTTAAGATGTGTGATACCGTTCTGTTTGTAGAGCTTTCATTGGTTGGGAAATTAGGCCATGATGGACCATCATGACACCTAGGCTGAAGTCGGCAATCGAAACAATCGTTACTTTCTTTGACCGGAGGACACGATAGTGCTGAAGTTAGGGGTGACATCTTATTTGATGATTTTTTCCATGACGACTTCCACGGACTAACTTGTTGAAATGGACCATATTGCCCGACCTCAAGGTTGACATCCCTAACGAATAAGCTCTTTTGACTACTTTGAAGTGATTCCCATATGATCTAAATTAGTTGAGTATGAATCGACTATGAATCTGAATTAGTTGATGTGCAAAAGTACCCTATCTCAATCTTTGAGCAATCCTAGTACATTAGACTGTATAGGACTGCAAAAGATAAAAAAATTAGAGGTATGTGAACTTAGAGGCACGTGTTTATAAAAAATTGTACTTATAAACAGATAGAAAAAAGCGACGAATAATTGTGTAATACTTGCTGAATCCACCAAATATGTAGATAAGAAGTGATTTGAATTTAGCTTTTATAATCAGTCCCCAGTGGCCTATCTTGACCATTTCGAAGGAAAGAACTACTAAATCAGACGAATTTGATAGAAAGGAGCTACTAGTTAGGTTAGCGGCTGACCGTGTAGCTGATAAATGGGGGTACGTTTGATGATAGTCATGATAATATTGGACATGATTAATGATGATCGAAACTCACTGATCAAGGAAACGATGTCTGTGTAAATTGTTTTATTCATTTCTAACGTTAAAAAAAGGATAAAAAATAAAAACTAAATTATTTATCCTACTTTGCGAACAACTCGAACCTGGAATTCAATCCATTTGGACACTAATACGTTTTTAGCTCTTTGACCACAAAAAATGATGTTTGTTTTGTTGTAGTCAAAAGCACCACTACAAGGGGAAAAAAAAGTGATTTGTTATTTACGAAGAAAAAATTACGTTGAGCTTTGTAAATCTAAGTTGGTGTAACAATTTACTCTAGTTATTTGATTACTAAGCAATTAATTGCATAAATCTTTCTCTGATCTAATGGAAATAGGTTGGTATCTAATTGCATCAATTCATTGTTGAATTCCGAGTGCTTTAAGAAATTAAGAGATCCTTCAGTTTTTACACTTAAACTCAGTGTTATTAAACCCAGACCGGACCAAGAAACGGTCCGTCGGTAGTGCGGTCCAGATGACTCAATTGTTTCCACGTACAATTAACCCATTGTTAACTCGTCCGACCCGTCGGATCACTTTCAAGTGAACCGGACAGTCCACGAATTTTAATATAAACTCAGATAACCCAAAAGATTTCC